CGGCTAGAAGTGTCTAAAACAGGTAGGCTAGGAGTATATCGGGTTGTTGGTTGTTGTTTTGTTATGCATGAGCTTGGCTGGTTTAATAGATGCCCTGTTTAGGTTTGTTCTGTTTAAGACAGTGGAGTGGGTTTGCAATGGTGACTGGGACTTGGGAGTGAGAAGGAAAGTCTTCTTTGTGGACTTATTCACCTTGAAATCCTCGTCAGAAGTTGTGATTTAGCAATATTTAATGTCGTTTGGAGTTAACTTTCTTGTTTCCTTTTCATACCCTACCTGTGCAACACTGTAACCTAACATTGATTTATGTAACTTCTGTAATCATGCTGATTGCTGAAATCATAATATTCCTTCTACTGTCTTAGGTAATTTCAGATCGGAAATGGGAGGAGGTGGTTTCTGCCTTCAATTTTGTGACTATCAAAAGATCATTTCTCCTACGCAAGTATTATTTGTCATTGTTATATCACTTTGAGCAGGCATATTTTTTAAAGAAAAAAGCTCCAGCAGTTGCTATCACTGGTACAATAGCTTCGTCATTAGCTACCATGACTTCTTTCTGCCTTTCCAGTTAGCTCCTTGACAAATTTCCATTTTATTGTGCTCCTTAGATGCTGCAGAACAAATTACTGTTATTGGCTCAACTATGGAATCTACTTCAGACTTCAATGAAAAATCTGCCAGCATGAGCCATTTGCAAGGTATCTGGATGGGCTTCTTATATGCCGGTCAGCCAGTATTTTTTTAACTTTTTATATCTACTGTTCCTATTGGATGTGAATTTATACTAGTGATTTAAGAATAGTGAGAACATAATTTTTTCAAAAAGGTGACTTTATTAGTAAAATGGATCCAAGTAAATGTTGGAACTATTTTAGTTTTTAGATAACAAACTTTATTGATGATGTAGTCTGGGATGTTTCTTTGCTTGTGTTGATGAAACCACAACTATTAGCCATCACTTCTTCATAACACTTTTCTGATTGAGATTTGCCAATGAGAAAACTAAAGTGTCATTTCTTTCTCAATAATGCTTTCTTGCTAGTTCCCACCCTATATCTTATTGTGGAAAGCATAATTTGTTAGCTTTCCCACACTACCTCTGCTGCTACTGCTATATACAAGTGCATGTTAATTGCTGCCTACTGGAAAATAGTTATTGACCGATGATTTGCCTCATCAATTGCCATAAATCCAGAATGCATTCTGGTATAATGAAACATCTCATATTCACGCATGCCAATGCATATCTTTCACCATTAATATCTTCAATAATCAATATTTAAAAACTAAAAAAAATAAAAAATCGATATATGAAAAGTACAAATTGAGACAAATTTAACAAGACCCTACATGATTATGTTTCTCCTTAGAAAAATTCACCAAAAATAAACAATGTGTAGTGTGTGAATTGCGGTAAATTTCAAATTGTTTCATTTGAAAAGGAACAAAGGAAAATCATATGTTGATGAACATCTCTAGTGGAAATTGAAGTGCAGTATAACGTTGTGTTATTATAATAACTAGCTCAAAAATATATAAGCAAGATATCACTTATTAATTTACTTGTATATATTAGAACTGCTCTTCATTTCCTTTTTACCCTGGGCATTGTCCTAACCTATTAAGGCCCTGTTTCCCTCAGCTAATTCAAATAATGTTCAATAATATCATTTCAATAGAAATAAGTTAAGTTTAGCAGAAATAAGTTTAGTTCAGGAAAAATAAGTTCTAATCAATGGAAATCATTAACTAAAATAAAAAAGAGCAAATAAGTAAATATAAGTTCTATTCAATAAATAACAAGTTTAAGTTCTGAAAAAATAAATAAGTTCAACAACAATAATTTAATTTCGGTAAAAGTAATTGAAGTTAAACAAAAATAATGTAATTTCAGTAAAAAATTATATAAGTTCAGCAAAATTAATTTTAATTCAGCAAAAATCAAGTGAAGAGAACAAGGCCTGAGTTTTCCATCATAATCTTCCAATTGTTGTCAAAGCAAACCTGAACCCCAAGAGTCAAAATACCTTCTTGTTTCTATGTCATTAGACCTCAAGGTGTGATATCACCTAATGTGCTGTACCAGTGTGAATAAGAGCAATCTGATAATTAACTTGCCTGAAACCTCATTGATATGCTTAATTCTGCATTAGACACATAACCAGCTTTATTTTTTTTTTTAAGAAATAGGAAAATCACAATTTAGCTTATGACCCAGTGTGCTTCCTAGTAGAAAAGAAGCATGGCTGTTAAATAGAATATAGATTGAGCTATTCACGGCACATAATTCTTGCTCCCATGGAACCATTTCTATCTATATGCATCAGAATTGATTTTTTGTTTTTCAGTTGAGTTGTTTGTAATGAGAAAATGCTGCGATTATTTCATGCAGCAAGTGTCCATTTACAGCCTGGTGCATCTTTGATTGGAGTTATTGACGAAAAATTGGATCATGGGTATGTTGTGTCTGTGAACTTGGGCTCTGATACTCTGAAAGGCGTCCTGTATCATATTCCTGATACACCACCACCATTTTGGAGCCCAAATCTTACTCGGCGAAGGAAGCGGAAAAAGTCACAGTTGTCACTAGTAGAATTTTCTCCCTTAAAGCATGTATCTCAAGGACCAGAAAAGGCCTTCAGCAACATTGGACATATGAGATTTCAATCAGCAGAACCCGAGAAGCAGGTAAAAAATGATTACCTTCCTTTTTTAAGATTCCATGATAGTTGAAGTGCATTGGCTTATCCATTACACCTTGTCTACAATTTTGTAATGCTTACTTGTATGCATTGAATGATGTCCGTGTAAACATGAAGCTATCAACTATACATGCGTTGGTAAAAGTTTTGAATTTCATGTGTGATAATACTTTGCTGTTAGGGCATGTTGAGAAGCCTTGCGCTTGAAATTGCATCAAACCCTGAGATGATAACCCTTATATGGAAGGATAATGGGAGAAGAATTACCTTTGACATTTGAGTGAAAGGATATTTTATATTATTAAAAAAAAAAAAAAAAAAAAAATTGAATTTGATTCATTTGCCTTTCGAACAGTTAGAAAATAGGGAGATTTTCATCTTAAACCTCCTCAAAAGAAATTATAGCCCATCAGTCAAATCTGACAACCAGGCGAAATAAGAGGCCACGTTAAAGAACTCTATGAACTAGTGTTTCTTTCCTCTTTTCTTACCCGTTCCTTCATGCCGTAAGCCACTTGAAACAATTAGGAGTAAAGATTCCTGCATGAAATCTAGAAATTTTCCTCTGTTGTTTGCCAGATTGCCTGAAACTACTATATACTCTAATTTGTTAACTTGCTCATGCTTGATTAAGATTCTGTGATCTTCACCTGTAACATCTCCTTATAATACAAATGTAATATCTTGCATATAATTTCTATTTTCCTCTTGCAGAAATAGTTGGTTTCATCAGTTCTGTTATTGTGTTTTTCCGTACTTTTCTTTTCATTAATTACCTAGTATACGTAATGCAATTAGCAGGTTGGAATTTATACATTTCTAATGAAATGTTGATTATGTTGATGCTACCTTTTTAATTTATTTTTTTGGCTGGAAAGTTAAAACTGTGTTTTTAGCTTATTGTTGATAACTTGATATAAAACTGCACTACTGCAGTATTTAATTTAGACTATCCCCATTGATTCATTGAAGTAGGATTTCTGATGCTAGAACTCTGAGCTAAGTCAGTCATCCTTTTGAAGATCTCAAAGTCTCAAGTCTCAACTAGTGTTGTCTCAAGTCTTAACTTTTGTTTACAGTTCAATCAAGATAAAGGAGTGACCGTTATGGAGTCTGACCATACTGAAGTTGCCAACACTGTTGCTAATTCATGATCAGTTCTAATGACAAATTTGCACCGAAAATCCATCTGCAAACTGTTGAACTCCCAGTATTTCTTCTTGTTTGCGCCATTACTTCTTGGGCAGCTGGAGCTGGGTCAACACAGAACTGTGCTAGCCCTACAAATTAGTAAATTCTAGATGTAGCATGTTAGCTTTGGTGATCCCTGTATAGGCAGCATTGACGCCTGTTGTGTGATAACCTCTAATGAAGATGTTTAGGAATATAGGACATGTAAGTTTTATGCATCTTCTGTTGCAGGAGGATGTCCTATGAAAATTGCTGAGCTAGGATTGTAAAACTGCACATCTTTTGAAAAGTTGTAACCTTATGACTTAGAATTCTCATCTCATTGATTTACAAGTGTTAAGGATGTTTTATTTTGTTGTATTGTATAGCTTAAGCACCTCATAAATCTCACGTAGAAGATTCCTCCCGGGTTTCAAATTTAGCCTGCACTTGTAATCTTGTTCAAAAGTTATCACCAGTGTGATGGAAGTGAGGATAATGTGAAGCTTTAATGTCAAGGGGATGGAATAATTGGAATCCCAGTCTAGGAGCTCGGATTCCACTTCTATCATTAGAGGGAAGCATAGTTGGAATCTCTTCCAGCGGTGATCACTTATTGGTTTTACGAAAAAGCTTCTAGGTAGTCAGCCCAGCCTCTCCGACACTAAAGTTCCTGAGCTAGTATGGTTCGGGGAATTACCGCAGAAGTTTTCAGCCTCTAGAAGTTGCTTCCAAAAGTTCTGCAGATGGTAATAAGACTCATGTCGATATGAAGTTCTTCAGTCAATACATAAAGTACTTCCATGACCTGAAGACCATCTATAAGGTTCACACTGTGTTGAATCTCAATAGTGACGATAAATAGGCATTCCTGAAGGAGACAAGAAGATTTCTACTCTATCCCATAATCCATATGCTCCATATGAGAAAAGTAAAGTGGAATTTTCATTATTACCTAAGCAAATTTCATACTTCATTAGATTGTACTGTAACATCATAAGTTAAGATCATAATTGATCAAAACACATTTTGGAAATTTACTTTTACCCTAGCAATTATGATAGCATGGCTGAGGGTGGAGATTAAAGAGAGCCCCTTCTGCAGGAGGCTAGTTAATTGAGGGGCTCAAAGACAACTGCACATTGTGTTCATGCATTGTAAAGAAACTGTATAAAAGATTTAGTGTAATATGTAGCACAGACATGAGTAAACATATTCCATAAGCAAGAAAAATATAGATTTCACCATCGTAATTGTTCAAATAATTACAGCTCTACAAGAGCCGATCTGACAATTAAGAAACATCTAAAACAAATGGAAGGGTAACACTTAAAAAATCCTACAAACTCATCTAAACTGATCAGAAACATAACTAATAAAAGTGAAGATCACATCACTTTCATTCCCTAATTCCAAAGATGGCGGAATTGTAAACAGGCAACTGCACAAGCACTGCAGAAATACTTGCACAATAAAAGGCAACAGGAACCAGAAGGTTGAAATATATAATGCAGTTGTAATCATCACCTCTATGTGCCAAGCAGCTAGGCGGCGATGCCAGCATTTTCCAATAAAATAAGCTCAGCAAAACTTCCAATGATTATTGCAGTTAACGCAAGTTACAAAAGTTGTCATGGGTTCATCAGCACTACGAGTTTGCATCTGGTGGTACGTGGTCTTGCGCTGCCCACATCTCCCACATCTAAACTGGTCAGTTGTGGCCTTTGGTGGACCACCACGTTCACAGTCAAAAAGAGCCCTCTTTTCAATCTCTTGATTCTCTATTCGTCTTTGCTCACTGGCCATTTCTTCGGCTGTCAAGTTGACAATCCTTTCAGGCTTGATATCCCCTAGAAGGACTTTCCTACGAAAATCTGGGTTCTTAGCATCCTTGATGTTAAATACAATGCTCCGGTATTTAAACTTGTGAGCACCATTAGAACGGCCCCACTTATCAAACATAACGGACTCCACTGAAACAGCCACTCGGATTGGATCACAAGCATCAACTTGTTCTTTAATGCTTTCATCTGCCTCGCTGGAAACCTTAGATAGAGCATCTAAAAGAAGCTCTCGCATCTTATCACGTATGGGATCACCAGCCTTGACCATGGAAGGCAACTTTGGGGGAGCATTAGCTGGTTTTGCACTGGAGCCCAGCTTCTCTTGCTTTACCGTTCTTTCAACCTTAACAGGTTCCGCTAAACTCACATTTCCAACCTTTAATGCATTACCATTCTCAAATTTACTTTCCACAGGACCTCTTTCGGTCTTAGCAAGCTTTTGCGGTCTGGGTGAAATAACTTGTTCAACTTTTCCGACTTTCACATTTTCTCCCCGTGTGCTCTTTTCATCCTTGACTGGAATTGATTTCTTGGTACTGCCAGAATTGGCAACCTCAACTTTCATAGTATTATTACCAACATCGCCATTTTTCTTCTGTGATGTTTCCTCAAGTATTATGTTTTTCCATATCTCAATCAAATCAACTGCAACACTCTGAATATTCTTTCTAGGATGTTTTGTAAGATGCCGTAAACGCTTTCCAACCTGATCATTAAGTGCACATTGACTCGATAAGTAAGAATCTCAATAAAAATTACAAATACTCCTTATAGACTATATTATAAGCAACTTTGAATGTCAGGCAAAGTTCTAACAAAGGAGTAAGCCATTATGTAGCTCATAGAGAAACCAATCTACATATGCATCCTAAATTGTACTTTCCAGTCTTCTGTTTCTATTATAAACCCTGATCCTCAAGGTGGGAAAGATGTGGAAGGAAAAACGCAAGCAAATTACAAACCCACAAAATGACAATATTACCCTTTATAAACAGATCCATCATATTCTCTCTCCATTCCTCACTACCTTTCCTCTGTGTCATGATTTTGTCTCTCTTCCTCACTCTCTTTTTCTCCCTTAGTTACTTCTCTCTCTGTTTTCTCCCCTTTAATTTTGATTTTAATAACAGCTTTTGATATTCTAAACCATAAATCTATAGTAAGGATAGATTACTAAGATTGGATTAGTAGTTGCAGGAAGTAAGGTTGATACCTAAGGTTCACATAGATATTCAGCTTCCTTGTTGATTCTTATTTAGTTGAGTAATTTTAGATTCTGGTAGAGCAGCTATAAAATAGTCTGGACAGTCTGTTTTTGAGTCCGGTGGACGAGAAACACTTTAATACAACAGTCTCTTCCCTTCCATTACTCACCACAATTGTTAATATGTTACCCAAATAATTAAAAAATAAAATAAAAAATCTTCTCCCACCCCATTCCTTTATTTCTCTTTCCCCACCCCATCCCCCACCACCCAAAAAAAACATATAATCCTAAGATTCCTAACAGAGTAAATGCATTATGAAACAACAGCGGGGCATCTCATAAAACATATAACAATGGCCCTTTATGCAAGTTAGGGCAACTATGTAGCACAACAACCCAACAGGTCTAAAGTTCAATAGTACTCCGCACGATTTTAACAACGAAAAAAGGGAATATCCATATTCATTTTCCAAGAATGATTTGCCAATGATTGTCAGTATCCATATTCTTTTCAAGTCAACCGTTATCCTTGAAAGCATGATGCAATAAAGTATGAAATTTCAAGCTCCAACAACTTCTCAAAACACCATAAATGATTTGACTCCTGAGTTACTTTATGCATGGATAAAAAAAACACTAGAACACTATTTTTTGGGGGGAGATATAGCTGTTAAAATATATCAATTGTCTATGTAGATTATTCTATGCCGCATTAATTATCTGTACAAATTCAAACAATTAGTCAATATAATCCTAAATGATAAATCATATCCAAATTTCACATTATGAAAAACTTATGATACTCCCAAAAGCTTTCCTTACTATCCAAAAATTGGAAAACCATAATAACAATCCCTCAAAAGGCGATATTTCAGCCTATACTCACAGTTAAACCAGTAGCTTATCTTAGATTTCCCGATAGGTCAACGAGAAAGATTTATCCTATTTTTTTATTCACCAATGTTAAAGTTAAGTTATCAAAGCTCAATCAACCCTAGTTAAGAATTAGGCACGTCTTTAAAAGTGATGTCTTGGTCATTCGTGTAGATGGGAATTGCTAACAGGATAACTGCCATTATGAGATACAATTTCGACGCCACTTGGTAACGACAAACTTCATACCCAAGATAAAGATCATATTTTACAGCTCTAATTATTAATTAATGAAACAGAAAGGAAAGACCGAAAGAATGTATAGAAGTAGAACAAACCTGGGTAGAAACAAGAAGCTGATAATTGACAGGGAAATCCTTAAGCTCCTTCAAGGCTGCAAGGCAACGAGCTTCCTCATCGGCAGAGCCAATGTCTTCTGCTGCTGCCGCGTCTGCCGCCTTCTTGGCGGCCTCGAACAATACCACCAGCTCACTCTCCATGATTCCTGATCAATGTGTTATTCGATTCGACTCGATAAAACTCCTCTCTGTTATTCCGTTACTTTTCTTAGAATCAGAACCTACCACATAAATTCCTAAAATTTCTCAGGTGATTTTTGCTCCAAACCCAATAACTGCAAACATTCATATTGCAAGCATTACTATTCATTCAAAAATTATTACTCCGGTATAAATTTATGAATTTATCAAATTTCATATTCCCATAAGCAATCTTTCATACCAACCAAAACGCAATTTAATTTGTAATCATATACAGGCCCGTCCCTGAGGCAGGGCAGGAGGGGCAGCCGCCCTAGGCCCAGGGAAAAGAGATTTGATTTCATATTGAATTATCTCGAAAAATACATAATTTTAGGGATACTTGATTCAATAATCAAATTACGCTCATAATCTTCTTTTCTTTTGGATATGATGTTTCATAATCTAAGAATTTGCGAACCCTAAACTTAAAGCACTGATAATTAAATTAGATTAGATCAAATATAAACCCTAGATTGTGAAATTGATGTGATGATAACAACAACAAACAACTTACCTTAGAAGCTGCTTCAATGGGGGACACAAGAATTAGATTCAACGGAGAACGCTTCAATGGAGAACGTTGAGTGCGCTTCAATGAGATAACTCAGAGAGGTAGGAAATAGGAATGAGGCCTTTAAAAGCCGTGACCCGCCGTAGTTATAATATGGGTTAGATCCGTCTGATAAATAAGGGATTTGTAACATCGCCCGCAAATCTCTACATAAAGCCCACAAATTTTAGTGAATTGACACTTTTGCCCTTTTTTAATTTTAAACGAAAACGTAATTCTCTCTCACGAAAAATGTGGAGTCGGAGTGGATCGTCGAGGGACACCGAAGAGCCGACGGACATCGGAGAGTCGTCATCGTCGCCGAAAAACGACGTAAATTGAGGGAAAAAATTACTAAATTTAGGGGTGGCGTCTTGCCGGGACGCCGCCACCATGGTAACGGCGTCCCGGCAAGACGCCACCCCTAAGTTTCGTAATTTTTTCCCAATTTACGAAAAAAAAATATACGAAATTTAGCGGTGGCGTCCCTGCAAGACGCCACTACCATGGTGGCGACGTCCCAGCAAGACGCCATCCCTAAATTTCGTAGATTTTTTTCCCATTTTACGTCGCTTTCGGCGACGATGACGGCTCTCTGATGTCCCTCGGCGATCCACTCCGGCTCCACATTTTTCGTGAGAGAGAATTACGTTTTTGGTAAAAATTAGAAAAAGGGCAAAAGTGTCAATTCACTAAAATTTGTGGGCTTTATGTAGAGATTTGCGGGCGATGTTTAGCAATTCACATAAATAAATGTGACGGGTCTTTATATGATCGTCTAATTATGAGACAGGTGGGTTTTGTAAAGGTTTTATGTAAATATGTTTTAAATATTTTTAAATATTTCCATACACCAAAGCTTGTATCAATTCTTTGTAAGTTTTTAAGATTTTTTTTTAAAAAAAAACAGCTGAAATTACATTAATTAAACTAAGTTTACAACAAACAAAAGGACAGTAAGTAACATAGGTTACTATTAGCCCTTACACAATATCAATTAAAGTCATTAACGATATTTACCTTTCAGCTATTACAACGAGTGAGGACAACACATATAAGACTTACCAATATACATTTAAACATGCGATGAGACCATTGATAGAACGAGGGAAGTTGGTGATGATGTTTCGTGTTGTGCAAGGTATTTTCTAACATACAATTAAAAGTCTAAGAATGTTGCTGAAATGATGGAGACAACCCAAAATCAGTATGTCTTACCCTAAGGGACCCCAATAATTCAGCTGGATAAAATCCTCTTGAGTTTTATGTTTCATACATGTCAATCACATTTCCTTGTGATCTGACAAAACCATATCTTATACTCCATCCGTCCCATAATATAGTTCTTATTGTATTTTTTTTACGGTATTTGAGAAATGGGAGGAGAAGTGGAAAAGAACTAGACAAAAGTACGAGGCAAGTGGATAATTTAAGGGAAAAAAAGTGAAAAGTTCAATTATAGACAAAAGTTAGAGAGAGAAAGTGAAAAAAGTACAATGCAAGTGGATAAGTTAAGGGTAAATTAGAAAGTTCAATGAATAAAGTAAAAAATTAAGGGTATAATGGTCTTTACATACTATTCAAAAATAGAAACAGGAACAACATTTTGGGTCTCTAAAATAGGAAAACAAAAACTATATTGTGAGACAGAGGGAGTATATATTCTCATACAAGGTCATGATGTTGTAATGACTTTTACCGATATCACATACAAATGGGTTTAACAACACCTACTATGGGTTTATGTAAATCTGAAATTGAAATTTTGCTACATCTCCCAACAAACATAAGTAAAACCACTTAAAGGAATACATTTTTATTAAAACTAAAGAGATTAAAAAGGGCAATTCCAAGAGTCAAACGACTCCATTTCATCCTCCAATTTACCCTGAATTTGACTTGTCTTCACTTTTCGATCTATTATATTGGGTGCTTAAATCTAAGTTTTAATTTTTTAGAAAAATTCACTTTAATTTATTAATCCGAACTTTCAGCAATTTACTCTCAATAATCCCAACTTACATTAATTAGGGAGCACTATGAACTTTTGGGTTGATTTTCTTCCACTAGGTCGATTTACCAGTGACTTAAAGAAAGGGTGATTTTTATTTTGTAAAAGCCATGTGTGATGTGTTGCAACATAATTGTTCCAAATTTTTTTGTAAGAAAAAGAAAAAAAAAAATTAAAAACCCTTCTCAGCCAGCTACCATCCTCCCTCCCCTTAGCCCCAACCCCCAGCTCGATCGAAATTCGACCGCCCGCCTCCCCTAGCAACCGATAACAACCGGTCGGCCCTTCCCTACCCCTAAAAACACTCGGGCGACCCACCTACACCATCGAAACCACCCCCCTACCCCCATCCCCCAAATAGCCCCTCCCTTCTCAGGTCGATGAAACCGCCCCTCCTCCCTTCCATTGTCGTTGAAACGACCGATTTTTTAGCTTCCTTAATTGGAGATTATTGCCAAGAAATTAAATGTAGTTGCGTTACTCAAGGTTTTTGTGGTAGATTTTGTTAGATTTTTTTTTACAAAAAAAATAAATAAATAAATGGTAGTTAGTTGTTCTCAAAGTAGTCAATATAATTGTAGTTGTTGGTAAAATTTTCTTAAATTTTCACAAAATTACCCTATATCTAAAGTATAATACTCCCTTCTTCACTTTTTATTGGATACGTTTTGACTTTTACACGTTTATCAATACACCTATTTGATTATTATTCATTACATACTTTTTAAAATTATAACGATTGAATATTATTAGAGCATTCGTTGAGACGAATCAAACATGATCTCACACGACTCTTTTGCTTTTGTGAGTTAATTTGAAGATTATCTAATACTTCCTCTATCCCAAAATACATGACATAGTCAACATTGCACACATGTCAATGCACTACTTTGAATTTATTTGTATATAATTAAATATTATGAAAATTATTTTAAAATTATATTTTGAAATTTATATATATACACCTATTTAACAACATGTTTTATGATAAAATATGTTTTTATTATGTTATTAAAAAAAATTATGATCAAAACTAATACATGAATAGTGAAAAAAGTCCAACGTCTCATATATTTTGGGACGGAGGGAGTATTATGATAATGTTTAAAATCTAAACATAACCAATAAAAAGAAACGGATGAAGTATTATGAATAATATTTAAAATCTGATAATAACCAATAAAAAGAAACGAAGGGGTACCCTATAAAATTTATCATCCTAAAGTTTTTGTAAAAAAAAAAAAATCATCCTAAAGTAATTGAAATATTTTAATATACATTTTGTTGATGCATAACATTATTTTACCTTTAATAATTTTGATCGTATATTTATTATAATTAGTTGATACTATGAAATTTTATACAATGTATCAATTTTTTTTGCATATTATTTATAGAATTCAAGTCAATCTCCTAAAAAATTATGCCGATTAAAGTGATGCGCACTTTAAAAAATGGAGGGATTATTTTTCTTGCATTAAATGTCTGAATTTATTATAAAATGATTTATTATAATTGTAGTTAAATAAAGATATCTTAATGAATGTTATTTTTTTATAGTAATAATTTATATCATAGTTATCAAAATCGAGATTCCACTTTGAATTGGAAGGGATTTAGATGTGTATGTGTTACTGATGATAGTAGTCGTTTCAGAAGTTTTCCTACAAATTTTTATTTCTCACATGAGAAGGTTTTTTCTTGTTTTAGGCTTAAAATATTTTAATTATGCAATTTTATTTTGACAATAATTATTTTTACGATATAGGAGAATCGAGTGAGATGATTTAGTGGTTGTGGCTATTCACCATAATTTTATTTGGTATGTATGCATGTATGAATTTTTTAATATTTGCATAGTATCTTATTATGTATTTTATATACTTTGAAAATTGAAGTGATATTATTATAAGAAGATTATGATTCTTGGATTGTTTGATAAATTCTATTTAATGACTTGTTTACAAGCATGATAAAAAGTGATAATTTAATTATGAGATGATACAATTATTTAAAGTGAACTGAATCATATAATTATATAATTATAAGTAACAAGAAAAAATTAATGTAACCTTAATTCTATTTTATAAGAAAAAGCTACATTTATTATTTATAAAACATGATTATTATTGATTTCTCACTCATATTTATAGATTGACAAGTAAGTAAATTTAATACTCTTTCATAAAATGAGTCGAGTCAAAGAATGAGTCCAATATAGAAGTGTAATTATGCACATTTTGTGTGTGTCATAACCATGTAATAATTGATTAGTCACGAAATTAAGGGGCGAATGCAATAAATTATTACATATAACTATTTAAAAATATGATATTCTAATGAATAAATTACACAAGAAATTCAAAAGAGGTGTTTGAATTGTGAAAAAGTGTAAATAATGCAATTAAAATAACGGATGAAGTAATTAGCAAATTACGTAAAATTATTTATTAATTAACAAATTACATAAATATTTATAATTATAAAAACAAATGATTTATTCAATAAAAGTATTATCATTTTGCCCCGTGCCACTAAAATATTAGAAACGACTATGATCATATATCGATATTTATAATACCCCTTCAAATATTAAGACAAAATCATAAAACAGAAAATAAATTAAACCCTTCAACCTAGATGTATACGTTATCTATAGCTCGTAATGCGAAAACCCTAATTTGTAAATTTCATGGCTGCGTCAACACCCAAAAAAAATTAATAATAACCCTAAATACCAAAAAAATTAAAAATTAAAACTTGACATTGGAAAAATTGACCCACGAACTCTTACCAATAAACCTCAAAAAAATCACGTAATCATTAAAAAAATACCAAATTTGATGATTAATTTATAAATTTGAAAAGGTAAAAATTGAACAAAAGAATGAAGAATTTACAATAAAGTGGGTAAATTGTTAATAAAGAAAGAATAAAGGACGTACCTTGGAGAATTGAGGAATAAAAAAGATCTAGAGAGAAAGAAAAACGAGAACTGGAAAAAAGATGAGGTGAGTTTTGCTCAGTTATTCCTTGGTTTTTTTTTTAGCTTCAAATCGAAGACAGCACAAAACAAAACAAAGCAAAGCAAAGCAAAT